GCATTTTTATAGATCTTTCGCAAAGTTGCGAAAGTTTTTGCGAACGCTTCTCCAAACTTTCGAAGTTCTAATATTTCGCAACTTTTGCGAAGCCAAACCTTAAAAGTGCCCCCGTAGTGTAACTGTGCTCCTGCAGCTCCGCCCCGCCTGCGGCAGACAACCCGCAAAATTGTGGTTGTCGGCTCAAAAAAAGTCAGCGGAAGATTTTTACAGGGAGACGGCTGCTCGACTCGATTTACATATCAAAAGAAGAATGCCAGACACTTCCAGCAACCAGCACACCCACTCAACAGCACCCAAGCCAGCCTCGAGCATCAATCCCGCCTTCAGATATCTCGGTATCCCAGCCTCCTGGTTAGGGACCGACCGACCAAGAATTCGATTACCCTCGGCCAAAACTAGCGGTTTCTTGCTATCTTGCGGCTCATTGATTTCACTCTACGTCTACGACCGCCATCAATGCAAGAAGATTAAAGAGAATTATCTCAATCAGATTCAACACCTCTCCCAGTCCCTCGTTTCAGACCCCACCGATGACGGATTCCTTAACAACGACGATGCTCATTGGATGCCACGAAGGGTTACCGTGTATGGAGCTAGGGTTCCCGAAGACGTTGATGTCGATCGGGGAACTCAATGGTTTAAAAAATACGTTAAGGTGTGTGTGTGTGCGTGTGAATGCATGTATACTGATACAGATTGGATTGGATTCTGACCATCTTCTCTGTTCTCCTCCAGCCCATTCTGATCGCAGCGGCAATCGATTATACCATCCACAACGGAACGACACCTGGTGCCCTTGGGCGAAAAATATCGGCTGATATCCGCGATCAGAGAATAATCGCAGCTGCTCAAGAGAAGGATGGACATAGAGTCCCAGCTCTTAAACCCGGAATGCCTGGATATCGGGAATGTAAGTACTTCCAATTGATGGATCCCTCCGGAAAAATAAAAAAAAAATGACAATACTCAATTTTTTGCTTTTTGTTTTGTCATTTTAATCGGCCACAGGGCATGCAGAACAACATAGACTTACTGGTGGAACTTTGATCCTCGGACGGGCCACGTTAAAAGAATACCTTTGGGGACTCAAGCACGGATACGAACAACATATACCTCTGGATGAACTGGACGATGATGAACGATTTTCGAGGCAGTTGGAAGAAGCCGGTATTTTCGAATTAGATGAATGTCCCGGAGAGTTCAGTTCAAATGAAGATTTGACGATGCCCGAGGGCTTACGTAGCGTTCAAGAACAACTTAAGCAAACCGATGGCCACGATGAGATCAGCTTCAGCTCTCTATCCGTGGACGACAAATCTTCACCTTCGCTCGAAAAACCGTCAAATTTCTTCAACTTTTTCTCTCAATCTAAGCACACCCCATCTTTATCCTACTCGAATTCTTCAAGCAATCAATCCACTACCAAAACCTTGGCTCCGACTCCGATCCCACCACAAGCTCCATTACTCTTAGTTCCATTCGATCACCCAATAGGAATTCGATGGTGGCCCCTCAAGATTTATAGATTCTTTAACAGAAGGCAACAAGTCGAAACAGGGGCTCAAGTAGCGATGAAACTAGTCCGATCTCAAACTCGACCGATTGAGCCACCCAAGCAGACAGCTGGACTGACCGATTCCCCCAAGGATTGCTCAACGACTGGGATTGCGGCGGCAGACGTTGAAGACACAAACTTTGAAATCCAATTGACGGGATCGCAAGACTTAGACTTTCTGGCTCCAGAGGCGGACCAACATCTGAGACGGTCGTATAAGAAAGTCGGTAAGAGGGTGATTGAAGAACGGGATTTATTTCGGAAGGAGCTGAAGGACCGATTGAGGAAGTCTAGAGAAGAAACCAACGATCAAGTTGGAGAAACGGGGCAGAGCGAGCCTCTGAACGAGTCTCAACTACGTCAGGAAGCCTTCCAAAAGGAGAAGAAGTGGTCCGATCAATTGCACGGTTGGTCGATCGTTCGCCAGGGTAGTGGCGTTTCTTGGAGTCCTGAAATGAGCTCTGCTTTGAAAATATACGATTCCAAACATCAGGATGGCATGATTATGACTAGTGAAAATTAATGTGAATAAATTGTCCCCTCTCCCCACTTGACTTCTTGTTAGGGCCATTTTTGCTGTTTCCAGCTGTCATGCATTCTTCTTCACAACACCCTGCAATTATTTCTTGACGCGGAAAGAATATATATATTTTCATCTAGTCATTTCTTAAGATAATTAGTGAGACTTTGTGAAGGGTTGACTCATGATCAGCCAGCCACTCTGATCTGGGTAATCAGTAGAATTAGTCAAATCTTACAATTTGATTGACTCTTTTGAAATTCAACAAAAGAAGGAAAAAAAAAACTGACAAAGATGTTTAGCCTGATTGATGTTGTGCCACAAGAAGGTTAATAGGTGGGCTGTTTGGAAGCTAAGCCAAAAAAAAAAGTTTCAAAGTTTGAAAAGGTGAAATGTTTGTCCTTGCATACCTCAAATTGTGTAAGGTCAAGGGGGGAGGTGGGGGATTGTCCTCAGGCTCAGGGAAGGATTGACACATGGCCAAGAGAAAAGAAAAGGCATATCCTGTCAGCTTACTAAAAAACTAACTGCCTGGTCTTTCCATACACAATTTTGTTATGTTTTGTGAGTGTCTGAGTGGCACCTTTTCTTATAATTGTCTAGTGCTGAAATCCCCATAGTCTTCAAACCTGGGTCTAGTCTTGATCAATAACTATTTGCTCCTGTCATCTTTTCATGCATATGCTAATTTGTTATTTATTTCTATGTTCAATTTTTTCTCACCCAGGCTGAAAGTGCTGTAGGGCAGTGTAACATAGTGTAGTGGCACTAACTGTGTGCTAACACTACAGTTTTGGCACACTGTTTTGAGGGCATCTACACTCACATTGGTGGGTTGTTTAGCATATGTAGCAGCCCATTGTTGGTAAACCCATTGATCTAATGTTAAAAAACTTGACAGATTTTTCATTGATCTTAATGACCACCTGAAGCTGACAGTCAGTAGATTCTTGTAATTTTATTTTCAAAAGGATTTTTTTTTTTTTGGGGGGGGGGCACATGCCACTGGTCTGCTCCAATTTGATGAAGTCTCTCCTACACAAGATCAAGATCCAGGGATATTTGAGATACATTTCAGTTCTTCTGAGCCCAAAAATACCCATTGAATACATTTTTCACAGTCCAAAGTGGGTGAAAGCTTATGTAATCCTGGTTAAACCTGCCAAAATCAGCCCAATCCACCCCCACTCTGTTAGAGAGACTCTTAGTCTCAAGGTGTTATCATGGGGGCCTTTCCTTTCTTCTTTGCCATAGGCCACTGGATATGAGATTCATCAGTGGAAAGCCACTGGTGAGGGCTTCAGCAGTAATTGCCCAGTTCACAATAGCTAGTCATCAGCAAAATGTTTAGCTGTAATCAGCAAATCATTGATACTTAGAAACACATCCATTTTTGAATAATAATATGTATGTCCAGAGTCACCCAGATTATTCCAGATCCAGCCTGAAAAACTTTTTGCTATCAGCAACTTTCAACATGATGATCTGCCATTGGAACTGGCTATTGTGAACCGGGATAACAGAGAATTCTTGTAAAACTTAAAATTTTGTGGTCTTCTTCTTATGCCTATAAAATCAGATTCAAGTTACAAATTTTATGGAGGTTGTATTGTAACATTCCAAGTTCTTGAAGTGGTTTTCTGAGAAGATTCATAGTACTCCATTCAATTGGTGTTTGGTAAACACTCCACTTTGGTTGAACTGTTTGACTTGGTTGATTCATCATGTCTTGATTTATATAATTGTTAATGATAAAAATTGGTGGGGTTGGATGCAGAAAAATGGGCTTGTTGGGAATAAGGCTCAGAGATCTTGAGTTGATTTTTAGGCCTTACTTTGAGCCAGTGAAAGCTGGTGACTACATGGGTTTGAGTATATAACAATTGATCCAGGCAAGAGTCCTTGCTAAAACACGGTTTTCTTACAGGTGAAGAAGCCAAAAATTGGTTCTCTTTCTCGAGAAATAAGATAAATCATGGATTTTTTTTTCAAAGACTTTGTCCACTTCCTAGAATACGACAAAACAGACATCAAAATTATATACAAAATTAGTTAAATTTAATTCCAATAGTAGTTTTAAAGTAGTTGGATACAATGTCAATGTTTTGTTTGTACAAGTTGATGGAATCATGTGAAAGAAACACGAAGAGGCTAATTGATTCAAGACTGCTAGAGCCTCTTATTTATAGAGTATTTACCGACGTCTCGAACGTCTAGATGGGTAATCCGCCGATGATTCTACAAGCTGCAACCGTACCTGCGCCGCTGTCTCGATATTCTCTAATATCTGTTTGTTTCTTTTAATCAGTTGAAGGCTCGGTGTCTGATTGATAAAGGTTTTTGGGTGTAACTCACCAGGCCGTGTTAGATCGCATACAGGCAAGTTAAAACTGCACTGATCGTCAAATTTTACCGGATCAGTTCTTTTAAAGTTTGCAGCAAAGGTTTTACGATAAGTTTCAGTTCAAGTTTGAGGCCCTTTGATGAGTCAGATCAAGATGAAAGGGGCTCACGAATTCCAAACGTCAAATTCAAATTTACCGCTCTGTTTCTGGCAATTCCATGCAGCTTCGGTCAAGGATTTTACGCTAAAGTTGTACTTTACTGTTACCAATTTGGCATTATGAACTTTATTTATGGCATGTTTTCCTTTGGCTTGTATGATGTTCATCATTCTACAATAATGATCATGAATCGCAGTCAGCACAATGGAAAAGTTTCAATTTGATCGCAAAGTTGCGTCTTCAGAGGTTGGACTAACACGTTGTCCGGTCCACAATAAGAAAGCACCTTATCTCCTCCCCATGCACCATTGGGACCAGATCCGGTACATGGATCCTGTGAGGTAAATCCTCCACATAAGCTTAGTAACAAGATGATTGAAGCGTTCAGTGAATAGACTTACACTTCCTCGGGTGATAAAGTAGTTCTAATTGTTTAAGGAGGGGGATAAAAAATAGGGGAATGGATCGATCAACTTGGGCGACCTCCTGAGGTTGGAACACCTTGAATTATCTCAACGTACCTGTTGCTCCCAAATCGCTGCCAAAAGGTGTAACTGAACTGCAACCTTCAATTCGGATTCCTTGTCACCAGCAATATTGTCCAATTTTTCGTGCGTTTTTTTATGAGTCTTGGAACGTCCCATCAGGAAATTACCGTCTTTCAAAACGCCGTATATCCCGTTTTCAGTGCTAATTCCAGCTTCAATTATAGATTGAGAAAGGTTGGCAATTGCCATCTGAGCCCGGTCTTGACTCTTAGATAAAGCATAAGAAAATGCGGTCCACTTTAGAGGGAAGGCGTCCAATTTTTAAGTAAAGATAATCGGATGCCAGTCAGCTTTTGTCACTCAATGAATGATTTAGAAAGTTTTTGATCAAAAACAGAAGAAAAATGAATATTCTACCTTGTCGTGTTGATTCACGGGGTTCTTCATAATTATATCATCCATGAGGTTAGAGACCCCAGCATACAGACCAAATTCTCCTTGCACCAACTGATAACACCATTTCGGGTAAGTAAGAAGCCCCTCTGTAGGGATGACTTTGGCCAAAGCTGATGCGAAGGTCAAAATGGCCTTGATGATTGCCCAGGTATCTGGTAAGTCTGGGTAGAAATCGTGAACCTATCAAATGGGGACTTCAGAACCACATCATTTCTTTGTGATTTTTTTCCACACCATGCTAGCCGTCAATAAAATTTCAAACTTACCAGTGAAGGTGCAACCCCTGCAGCCGTTCCCCATTTTGAGTAATTAAGTTTTCAGGTCAATTACAATATCATCGAGCGATTCATTTTCTGATTTCATATCTCACCTTGCATCATAGTCATAGCCCAGCCAATAGACTGGTAAGCGGCATTCATGAATGTATTCCACTCTTGTGCTGCGACCAAGATATACCACTCTTTGCCTCTGACGGGCTGACAAAGCTAACAGATTTTCGCAATATGGTCAGCTTCTCCTTCTCATTTTGCCAATATTTCGCCCCTGTTATTTACCTGATCCGCATAGCACAATTTCTCTATTCCGCAGTCAAAATTGGTCAGGTTTACTTGATTGGCTAACTGCTTCCAGTTTTTGAAATCCAGTAAAAATACAAACAAGGAATGTTAGCTTCTTCTCGATAATCAAGACTTGAGTGGAGGTTTTTTCCAACAACAATTAAGAATAAATTTGAATGATATGGCTAGTACCAGTAGATTTAGATTCTCGCCATTCCTGTAGTCACGTAAGAATTCGTTCATGCCCATTTCCATCCATAGCTTGGGGCTTAGAGGCCGGCTCATACATTCGTCGAGTAAAACGGAGTCCGTGTCCTTTTGTGGTATACCCGTCGAGGTATGATGCGAGGAGAGATATCGATGGGAGGGTCGGGTCGAAGCTGAGGAGACGTTATAGAAACTTTGTAGATTAGTGGAATTCGACAGGTTGTCGAGCAATCGACCACGGCCATAGGGAATTGTAGCCGAATGAATAGCGTGAAGCTGATTGGCGATGAGAAGGACAAGGATGACGAAAGAAAACGAAGATTTGGTTTTCAACAGATGATCGGTGAACCATGAGAGCATGGATTTTAGAGCGGGGTCAGCTCAAAGGAAAGGAAAATGAAGTTAACATTAAGAAGCAACTGATAGCTTGACTACTAGGGAAACTGATCTATGCCTTCATGATGTTGATCTTTATAAAGGCGGCATATTCTCTGGTTCAGTTAAAAAATATCATCAGATCTTCCTTCCATATTTTTTTTTTCTAAACGAAAAAACCGCATCAACCGACTTCCCACGCAATAGCCATCGGTACCGGCACGCGGCACGCAGTGAGTGGGCTTTACTGGCCTGGAACAACTCGCGTCCTTCCACAAGGTGTCCCCATAATCCCGGAACGTGCACAAAGGCCGACAGAACGTGCGTGCGACGGCTCATTGAGAGGATGTACCCAGTTTTACTGACTGTACCATGGAAGCTGTACTTGTTCAACTTGAGTTAGTTTCGGGGGGATTTGCCTCAGCAAGTTTGTCTCACCTTAAGGCTTAAGCTGGTCGCTTCGCTACAGCAACTATTAGCTTGTATGTATCTAGCGACTGCGACACTGTACCATCGAAAGAAAAGTTAGGATAATAAACGTGTCATGACTTTTACAAACAGATTTCAACCCGTGCGCTCAGGGATGTGCAATACAGTGATTATGGTATCCTTACGCAAAACGAGGTATTGTCGGAGAAAGGATGTGATATTTTTATTGGGCATCCGAGTATAAACGAGTCCTGCCGCTCAAGCAATGTACACCCTGATGTGACGGAGAGTCAACATAATATGAACTGCTTTGTAGAAACAGGTAGCAGTACAGCTATGTACTTCAGTGTGGGTGTGAAACAAAAGCTGAAATTTACTAAGGCCAAATTGATTCAGCACAGGTGTGATGCATTGCATTGGAGGACTTCCCGTCACGGTTTAGAGTGTTTTTTAGACCTTTCTCAGTTCTAAATTAACACTCTAATCACAAATACAACTAGCTCACATGAGGGCCTTTACTACAAGGCTTCTGAAGAAAGATTTTTTCTGCCAAAAATTAAGACCTTCATGGTGTAAATCAAATTCTGTGAGGGTTATAAATGCCGACGGGAAGTCATCCATTAAGTCACATAGTTGCGACATGAGCCTGGTTGTGTTTTTTTCATGTTCTGTACAGGAGCTTGTAACATGTATGCTGTAGAACACCCTGATTTGCCCAGGGTGCTTGTAGCTGGGGCAATTCAGAAAGGGTTCTGAGCAGTCAGGCCCTTTGGCCTAACAAGATCAAGAGCTGCATTCTCCATGAGAAAATGTCTCCCCCATGTGAACCACTTGTTATTCAAAAATTCCTCATCTCTCAGATTGGGTAGACTTGTAATTTTGCTACTATGTGGGGCTCTTCAACTAGAATGTGGCCCATCTTCACACTGGAAAAAAGTAGTAATGGTCTTGAGAAAATGTATTAAATCACAATGCTGAAGAAGATACTCATGGTTGCCTAATCACCCAAGTGTCTGGTGCTGTGAGCATGCCAATCAGTAAATCTTGAGGGAGATTGGGAATGAGCAATCACAAAAACAAAGTAAATCAAACATCTGTGTCCCAGCTGAAGATATAATGGGGAAAGCACTGAAATACTGAGGAAATGGAAGAAGTTTCTGACATCATCCGAGGGTAACAGTGGGTGGACCATTATTTTTGGCTGCTTGTTTTGGGTCTCTACAGCTTCAAAGTACAAACTTCAAGTCACAAGACTTGCTGAATTGGTGCAGAATAGGTCCCAAAGAATGAATATGAAAAAATAAAAACAAAAAACAAAGTTTCAAAATTTGTGAAAAATAAACAATAAAAATATTTTTTCCAAATGCTTTGTTATTGATTTTGGGGGAGTGGGAGTGCTGAGAGAAAGAAAGAGTGGAACATGGCAAGAATGATTATATATGAAAAAAATTGGAACCAAAAAAGGGTGAGCCAGGTTGGATGTCCAGATTGGATCCAAAACAGTAAATTCTAGTGCTTTACTACAATGTGAGCTGGTGAATGCCCTACTCAACAGCTAATTAAACCAACTGGTAAACATTTTTTTTAGAATTTTCATTCATAATCATTCTTCCCATTGGAAATTCTTTCTTTCTTCCAGCACTCACACTCCCCCAAAATGAATATTAGAGCTTTTGGAAAAAAATATTTTTATTTTTTATTTTTCACAGATTTTGAAACTTTGTTTTTTGTGTTTATTTTTTTCATATTCATTCTTTGGGACCTATTCTGCACCACTTCACCAATTCTTGTGACTTCAAGTTTGTGCTTTGAACCTCTGGAATCCAAAACAAGCGGCCAAAAATAATGGTCCACCCACTGTACATATGTTTAGTCAGAAAAGTGGGCCTCTAGACCAGGTATGCTCAACAGGATGTTCAGGAACATGATTCTTGAAACTCAATGGCAAGCTATGGTAAGTGCAGCTCAGAGCTGCAGAGCCAGTGTGCTTGGCTATAGGATCTTTGGATGGTCGCTATTTCTCAGGGCAACCAGCAAAGAAAATCTGCCAAGATATTCTAGATGTTCAAGTGTCAAGCCATGTTTTTTCCCCTCAACTCCGAGTCCACATAAGGGTTCCCAAATTGGATGCCATCTTATGTTCATGATCAATCCTCCCTTTTCTCAAGAAAAGTTATTCTTGATGTCTGGAAGCGTGCGGAAAGCATCAGGAGACATCAACCGCAAGTCAGCTTGAGAGTAGTCCATATATGAAGTTCATGGAAGGTTTTCAGCACCTGATCTGGGGATGATCCACAACCCAAGTCAGTGGAAAACATGTTGATGTATCATGTGTCTTCGAACGAAACAAAAAAACCAAGGCCTACAACCATCAGTTCAAACAATCATACATGACTCTCACATGCCTCAGGAATCAGGAGAGCAGGAGTCAACGAGCGATAAAGAGATTCTTACTACAAGTACAGTCTGGCTGCCTGATCAGGACCCGCCATAATGCGACGAAGGACTAACGACAACAACTCCACAAGTTAACCGTCGGAGCTTGTACCCTCAACTTTAGGGAGCCGCCAAGCTGGCATTCCTCTATTCTAATAATCGAAATGATGGCCAATTCCAAAGTTCTTCTTCTGCCTTGCGCTACTCTGTGCTTAGCCTTTTTTGTCCCCGTAGCAATCCCTACCGGCAGTCCACTCTCCCTCGGTAGCGATTGTCGGTCGGAAAGCTCGGTTAACCAAGGATTTTATGACCTTTCGAATCTCTATCTCCTGGCCGGGGTGGCAACGCATGGTCTTGAGGCAAGCGCAACCTCAAAGGAAGTGGAACCGACTTGGGAAACCTCAAAACTTCTTCACGAGACTCAGTCTTCACACTCGTATTCCCCATCCGCACCCACCGCGATTTTCTTAAATGAAAAACCACTGGGATCTCCTGCTAAACGCAGGCAGGACTATGAAGAATTACCTAGCGCTAAGAGGTTTCAACCATCTTCAAACCCACCGGTGCCATCGCATGGCCGAATTGATTCGCAATTCCGTGAGTTGATCCATGACTCTCCTTCGTCCATATGAATCAGTACTTTGATGATTTGGTTCAATTCGACCTGCTTAGTTTCCCGGGGGCCTATTCCTGACCAGGCTGAGGCGCTCTCACCAATTTCACTGCGCAGTTCGACGATGAGGGCAAGCGATTCTGAAATCAATCCTATTTCGAATCAGCCTTCAGGTAAGTGCATGAGAAAGAGTTGACAAGATAAAGGATGTGATCAGGCCATCTGAATTCGTTACCCAGCAGGTACAATCCGACGCGATGCCGGCGGGGTCAAGCTGGGAAATCCATCGGGATCGATTCCTAGAGCCGATCCGGTCGAGAGTGACTTGATGGAGGTCTCAGATGATCAATCGCCTCGGATAACTTTTTACAAATTCCAAGTGCCAATTCCCGGTGGTGCTCAACCTATGGGACAAATCATGGAGCCGCTTCTTGCAGAGTTCCACAAATCTTTTTCTATGAGGGTCGAGCGCGCCGCCAGTCACACTCCGGAGAACGAAAACCGTATGCATCCAAGTTTGCCATTTGTGCTGACTGCTCGTCAGAGGGATCCAGCTTCGAGTCAACTTCGGAAACTGGCCCCAAAAGGGAAGAAATCATTCCGCCCACATTTATTTAATGGCGGCTCAAGCGAACCAGCGGATGATGTGGTTCTTGTATCAAGGGTTTTGGAAGGTCGATCGTCGTTCCTCCAGAAAACCAAGAAAATCAACTTCCTCTACAAGAACCTGATTGCCTGGGTCTATGAACACCAAGAGCGGCTGTTGAACAGCTTCAACATACCCGTAGCACTCTACAAAGTCGAGCAGAGAAAGCTCCTTACTTGGCTCGAGAAACAAATCTTTGCGCCTGATCATAGTCTTCCCCTTTTCCAAATCATCAGGCCACCGTACCCGGTTTGGAAGCCTGATCTATCCGATCAGAGTCTCGGTCCTACTCAGATAAAACTCATCCGGTTTTTCTCTCTGGAGAAGGAGACCCCGGAAGTCACAGAGGCTGTTGCCTCAGACCTTTTACAGACTTACCAAATTGAAAATAGAAGTGAGTCATCATTGAACAGGCGAAAAAAAAAAAAAAAAAAAAAAAAAAAAAATTGGATGCGGATCGACTGACTGATGATGAACCTCTGATTCCTCCGGCACCCATCAGTTGATTATTCGCTCCTCAGTCAGCCTTCAAATATCGTCCGGGAACATTGGATTAAAACTGCACAGAAGGCACACTTCAAGCTCGTTACTTCTTTTCTACTGACCCTCGCGCCAAGTCCAGCAGATGTGGAGCATCACTCATGGAGCTTGGGGCAGCATCATCCAGCCGTCCAGTTGCTAAGAAGATACTCGACGGAATTTCGGGCCCGATCTTTCCAGCTTTATCCAAGACATCGGCACGATGAATATGTGAAAGTGGTACCTGACAGAAGCTATCATCCAAAACTGCCCATTGCTGTCTACTTTTCCAATCGAAAAGTTGGTTATCAACCCTTAAGATCCTTGTGGTATATGAGTCGAAATGTGGTTAAGCCAGATGTAATCAATCAGTCGTTCACATCTCTGATCAAATTCTTGGATAACATCCATCTCAAGGCTCTTCTTCACTACAACATTCCGGCGACAGAATCTGCTAAGAACCGAGAAAAGCTGCTCCAATGGCTCATGCAAAGTATCTTTGAACCGACCGATAGTCTGCCCGTCATCGGCTTTACCAAAATTCACGGAACTACCGCACCCTGGGACGAGCCAACAAAAAAGTCCGAAGAATTGTTTGGGAGAACTCAAAGAATCTTGATCATCTACTTTTCTCAATATCCCACCTATGAATATATGAAAGCCGCCTCAGTCTCGCTCCTAGCCACTTGGTACAAAGATTGTCATCCAAGTGCATTCTACTCTAATAATCCATTTGATACGGGCCCAACACTCTCTGGGAACGTGATTGCAGGCTCACGCAAAGAAACCCAGGCTCGCCATCCTCACATTGGAACATGAGTTCATCTTTTTGAAGCAGTTCACCAAGCTCTGCTCTGTGAGCCTTGATGCCCAAAAGTTTATTCTGGTCGTAGAAAGCACTGTTTCCTCCAAAGAATCATGGTGGATAAGCCCAAAGTGACCAATTTAAAAAACATTGCATGTATATATATACACATATTATAATTGCGTAGCAGTAGAATATTTTAGTCGTAATGAGTACCAAAAAAACAAGGCTTGTATCATTATTCCCCCGTTTCTCTTTGTCCAACAAAGGAGGCAAAAGAATGGGAGGAATAATGACTCACCCAACCCTTCGGAAAAAAAAATCTACATAATGATATGTTGAAGAGAAAGGGAAAAAAAGACAATCCGCACTACATCTGCGTTGGTTCCAATGCAGTTGTTTTAGGATGCATGATTCTGTGGGAATTTCAAGAAGAATTCAACCAAGGGAACAAAACCCAATACAAACAACTCTGCCATGCATCCCTATTCCTTTGATGATGACATTCCATATTTCGACACCCTTGCCATTGGATGGTCTGTCGTTGACAATGAGAGGAGCATTGAAGCCATTGATATCAAATTCTTGGAAGCCCTTGACGACCCCGATTAGTCTGTGGTTCATTTGTTCGTCTTTGTTCAGGTTGCAATCAGAACTACCATCGTTTGCAATGAAAATCAACCAGGCGAGGACTTCTTCATGGTGATTATCATTTGTTTCCATCGAGCCAGACGAAGTTGGAAACTTCCATAGGATCTTTCCCGGCTTGTTTATGAATCGACTTTGACTATTGGCCGCTGGGCAATCGATCGTGATTGGCTGTTGAGTTGAATCTGGTTGCCAGATCACTTCCAATGAGTTTGGTGGTTGAGTTTGCGTCTGATGAATCACCCGGTCAGAGTGAGAGGATGGAGTCAGATTGATTTCGCCAACATAATGCGAAAACCTAGATCCAGGGGTAGTAGTGATCCCAAGGCGCTCGACTATGGTAGATGGCGAGCTTGAGCTATTTTTAAGTTGACAAGTGGATTCATACCATCCATTTCCCAATTCGCGTGTTTCCATGTTAGAAGCCTCCAGAGCAGAATTCGACCTTGGCACCAGACTCAAGGTGACCACAGGTGGCCTTGCAGATGCATCAGAAAAATTGCCAGAAATCGTGGGATCGTTCCTACTATTCGTCTTCTGAGTGGATGGATCATTCACTTGAAAGACCACTCCTAGGGGTGTAGTTGATGCTCCTTGAGCATCGATCGGCTTCCATACCAAGCGACATTCCATTTCACTCGAACAACGGACCGACGTGGTGTTCATCCATAGATACTTTGCGGTGCCTCTCGGAGCTTGGTCATTGACTTGCTCTTTGATCTCAACACATCCACTGCCAGACCATCCGACATCTTCTACCAGCTCACATCGAGCCACACCGGTTTGAACGATCGTACCATCACAAACGCTCCAAACGCTTCCACCCCTGATCGATAGATCGTGCTTTGGGAAGCTCATGGCAAGATCCGTCCAATCCCCGATTCCATGGAGAGGGTCAAAGTGATGTTCACCCGAAACCCAGATTCCGTGGCCGCTTCCTAGAGACCAGTTGGTGTAAAACGACGTGGAAAGTCTTTTGTGTCTAACTGGGAATAGCTCGAGCAATGGTTTGTGTTGGGGAAGCTCGCTAAAGCCAACCCCTTTCTTCGGTTCCTCCTGTTTAGTTTCTCTCGCAATTCGAAGTGAGTCGATATACGCGTTCGGTGGCTCCAGGCTGACTAGCTTCTCATTTGATCCTTTTTGGTCATTATTAGAACTTGGATCAGGGTCCTCTAGCAATCCGATCCAAAAGTATCGCTCGTCTCGCCACCAGAGATCCCACCATTGAGGATCAGACTCCTCCGAATTCGTACGATCTTGCTGAAGAACATCCGATTCCCAGGTCCAACCAGGAGCAAAGAGAGCGACCGAAAAGCTAGCGTTCAGAATATCAAGTGCGGCTTTCCAGCTCGAAAATCCACCACCATATGGACAACCTCGGCCGAATACGTCGACACCATACAAGACCGATCTTCTGAGTTGGTGGGTCGCCACCTTGACATCCATGGAGTGTTGAAATGATAGATCGAGCGTTTCCAGAGTTTCTCGAGGATATGAATCCGGGGGTCGGTGAAGATCAAAGACTTGGTCGACGAGAAGTTGGGTATCCCTGAGATGACGGGCGCTCCAGTGATAATCCAGAAATATAGAGGATGCTGCCGAGAAGAATGTAAGATTGTGCTGTGGTCGCAGTGCAGATTGCCAACGCAAGCTTCCATCGTGATAGGAGACCGAATCGTACCTGTCGAGAACAAGAAGGAAAAAAAAAATGTACGAATCAATGAGACGTCGAATCGATCTTTCAGGAAAGAGACACCAGGGACTCACCAAGAGACTTCCCAATCGGAGCCAACTCTGATCTGACCCTGTTTCCGCAGATACTCGACCCAAATCTTGATTGCATTAACAAATAGACCGGCAAGTGCATGGTTTCGGAGTGATTTGAGTACATCTATTTCGATGTTAATCAGCCAACCATGAAACTGGTGATGGATGGCTAGATCAATCAGCCGGTCTGCGAAATAGGTCGAGATGGGCGTGTTCTTGAGGCTGGTGTAATACTTGGTGGGAGGATTGGTTTGGCTGGAGCCGTCGAGCTGTGGACCGGAGAGTAAGAATCGGAGGTCCTCGAACGAGTCATTTTCGAATATCAATGTGCCCAGAATCCGTGTATGGCTGGAAAAAAAAAAAGATGACCAAGCGCGAGGGTAATCAGTAAAGATCCTTGGTTGATTCTTTTTCTTCTTTTTTTGGAGAAATAAGAATTGGGACGAAATACTCAACTGTGTCTTTGCAGCCGTGATCCATTGTTTTGGCGGGATTGAGACTCTGTGATGAGAGAAGCTGGAGATGAAAGAGATGGACATACGTTAGTTGACTCGAATATATATCATCAAGGAGCAAAATTCAGGTGGGAAAGACTGACTAGACAAATATATCAACTGAGCTCATCCACTCGAATGAGTATGTTCTCTTAAACGGATTTTCATAATAACCACCCTGTGAAGGAAGACGGGCAGCTTAGATTAGTATCGACACTTGATCGCATAGCTCAATAACCAAAAACACGAGTGGGAGACGACAGACCTTGAAGTCGTGGGTAACAACCAATTGAGGGTGTTTCTGAGTTTCTGGTCTTGATTGGTCTTCCTGTTGGTCCGGCAGGGATGAATGGGTGGGAGAGGGGACCAAGCCAGGAGTCGGACGAGACTGAAAATACCTGACGAGCTCATTCAACGAATCAAAGTAAGACTCGTTCTTCCTCGAATTGTTGATAGTTGTCTGGATTGAGCTAGAGATAGGCATGTTGGCTGGCTTGGTCTTTGAAGATGGTTTCGACTCTTCTCGATGAAGGAAGGAGACTTGTACTTATTTCTGTAGCACCGCAAGCTACATACCCTCGATCAAGCTATGCCATGGCTCAGCGCGGTTGAAATCAGGAGCTTCTTCTGTATGGGACTCTACATAAGTATTGGAGCAGTGATCGACGAGGATGATGTCCCGAAACTCGAAAGTCAACGTGGGAAATGCAATCCGATCAAAAACCAGGGGGAATCAGGGTCATTAGGAGGTGGTTTGCGTGATACGCACACGCAGAAGGCTGGGGCAATCGTTGCTGTCGGTGGTGGCGCCGGCCGCCAGGCTTCGAGCTGGGATACTCTTGGCGCGATCCACCGGGCGGATCCTGACGGATCAGACCGGCGCGCCACCCCGGCCCGCCTGATTACGTACGCAGCTTCACCTGGGTGCACCGTGCCGGCAGTCAAAAATTGAATCCTGATCCGTCTTTGATCCCGATGACATATTTTGAGCTAACATCTTGTGATCAGTCGATTCAGTTCTTGACTTCCATAAAAAAAATAACATCACACCCATCTAATCGATCTGGACCGGATTGGCATCTTATGTATTTACATGAATGAGACCAGCGCAAGCTGCTCTCTTGTGGACATTTGCAGGCCACACAATAATTATAATCGGACTCGGAGCCCAAATCTTTCACTGACTTCCCTCAGGCGATATCAACTTTGTATCTACGCCGGACAGAATTTGCCACCTATCACTTCTGCGAAAGTTTGGTTCCTACATCCAGCTTGAATCATCGCAGGCTGTTGTTAGCCTCTAACTTCTTGCTTTCCAGTACTAAAGATTCCCAGTCCCTTGCATCGCATTGTTTCCCAGTACCATCTTCGAAGTTGAGCTCAGTGGTCTATTATTTACCCTAGGAGCACTAGGAGCATGAATCCTCTCACCAAAACAGCAGCTGTCGGGCTTTCGATTCTGCTCGCTGCGCTGCCCGCGTTTACACAAGGTTCCCAGTGCTACACGTCGCTTCGATCGCATGGAGTCGAGGCGCGTCACTGTGAAAAGTAAGCATTATAGTCCTCTTTGTTAGAGGAAACGAATCACTCAATCATTTATTCTTGTTACAATAAGGGCTATGGAAAAGATTATCTATGATGTCAATCAGACTTTGGACGACGTGTCTCGCTCCTTGATTGTATTTCACAAATCATGTGCGGTGAGTTGAAGAGATTTATGAAACCCTTTTCTATTCTAGTCACTTTTACAAGCATTTATTAATTAATCTCAACGCGTTTTGCCTCCCAGATCAATGTGCAAAAGCCAAGACGCTACACACCGTCAGTATATCATGCCTGGTTTTTCTCCAGAAGCACAAACAATGATCACAATTTTGACTAGAATCATTTGCACCCTCAGTACTAGAGGACAGGTTGAAGCAGCAATCCATAACATTACGCGAAGTTGCCCTTCGAAGGTTTGTCTGCCACCTTCATCTCATCTGCTCCAATTAAGCATGTGTTCTGATTGATTTTGACAGGGTGGGGTACTCGTCACACCATCCAATCTGATCACCATCGTTCATCGATCGACCTCCAAAAACACCTACGAGATCAATAAACCCATGTGTGAAAAGAAGCGTTGCTCTATTCCATCTCAGGATTGCATGGAGTAAGTGCCCTCTCTAGTGGAAAGGCGGGAGTGTCAGAGTCGAGATTTGCAGACGAACCAGCAGTCTCCTGATTGCTGTACAATTTGAATAGCGCTTTCCAAAATCTTCCCGTGAACCGAAAGGGGGTCCTTCTCGGACAACAAACATTTTATTCATCCAATGTCACTAGAGGCAATTGTCTGGTGAGCTCCGCACTGCTGAAATCATTGATGGATATACTATTGGTCTGAATAACAATTCCGATGGGTTTTTGCCGAGACCTAGGTTAAAGTTTCAACTACGGATTATGCCCCCTTCAAGACGTGAGTTTTTAAGAGCATATGTATTCCGGTCCAACAGATTGTCAGTCACAATGTGTAGCTCATCACAACCCAACTCTAATTGTAGGTCCCATGAAGAGGTTAATGGACCCTTTCGCGTCCTGCTAAATGAGTGCAAAGAGCATGTGAGTCAACTTACCCAGTAGGGGGGAAAAGAATCGGGTCTTCGCGAGCTGATTGACCTTCACAGTCGGGCGTGGTTTTCATTAACGGAGGTACCGCCGGTTACAACGGTGATGTCCGGATTTCTATTCATTACTTGAATGAGCAATAACGCAGTTGATGATGAGGAACTGTTGGAATTCTCGCTGGAATTCTCCTTTTTTCTTTTCTTTTCTCTTATCTCCTTCTTTCTTTTTCTCTTTCTTTTCCTTAAAAAACTCCGCGCACTCCGCTCACTCCGCTCCCTCCTTCCGCTCCCTTCAATCCCTCTCTGATCGTTTCTTATCTCTCTGTCTCCTCTCTGCCCTCAATACATCCAATCATACATCTTCTCAAAACAACGCCTCGACACTCTCGACTCCTCACCGCCTCAAACACAAACACCATGGAAACTGACCTAATCCACCACAAGCCTAACTGACATCTCCTCTCAACCACAAGCTGAACCGGGTTCCACTAAGGCATAAAAGGCGTCTCCGTCGTCGCTCATCTCACTCCTTTTCCCCAGCAGTCTCCGACACTTTCACGCCTCAACCATTCCACAAATCCCAACTAACTGCTCGACTCATTCCACCAACCTCATCAATCCTCAATCAACTTCTCTCAACCATTCCCTTCCTCATCGCTCTCCGACTCCGTTTCTTTTCTTCTCTTTCTCTCTTCCTTCTTTCGCTCCTATCCCTCCTCGCTCAATCCTATCGACGACGAACTCAAGTCTTTCCGACTTCTCTTCATCCACCACTCATCGTCGCTCCGCCTATTCTCTCTCTTGAATTCCTCATCTGGCTGTTGCCAATTTGGTGAGAAAAGACTCGATCAATTTCTATCTCTTCTTCTCTTGTCAGAAACATTAACCTGCATCAACTTTCTTTCTGAATCTCTTTTAAAACACTAGTGTCTACTATCTCTCGCTGTTTGATCTAATTTACTTTAGCATTTCTGTTCTGTCTAACTCAAAAGACAAATCCTCTCGTGGTAAATTAATTTCTCTTCTTTTCTTTTTGTTGACTGTTAGATGTTCATGTTTTCTTATCTATGCTTCAACTGCCTAACTCTTGTGTTTTTTTTTATTTGTTTTTCAAAAGTTCTGGTTCTAGCTTCAATTATAATTCCTGTTTTTCATCACGATTAACAGTCGAATCGAATTCGAACAAAAAACCTCCAACTCTCAACACACTCACCATGTCAACACCTATCGACACTCCGAAAACATCAATCACTTCCAACCAGAACACCTCACAGAACAATCCAATGGAGAAGATCAGCTCCACTATTTTGAAAACCGCTCTCGAAGCCATTCCTCTCCTCACAGCCGACAACTACACATTTTGGCGAAATCGAGTCGACAACATGCTGGATCTACAAGGACTCCGAGCATCATTGACCGACAAGGATGGTTCTCTCTCGACCACTGATGACGTCCAACTTCGCACTATCATCACGTCCAAGCTGGATTCCTCTATCCAACCTAACGTCATCAATCATGAAAATGAGAAGGATGCTCGTAAGATATGGGAATCTATCACTAACTACTTTGCGTCGACCCAGCCAGCTAACAGAGCTAGAGTCTTTAATGAACTCTTAGATCTGAACTTCAACACCTCGGATATCCAGACATTCATCACTTCAGTCCGCACGATCAATTCCCGACTGTTTGAGATTGGCATCGACCTTCCACAAGATCTGGTGGCCTACATCCTCCTCAAAAAGCTCCCATCAGCGCTGACCAACGTCAGTCAGCAAATAACACATTCGGACAAGCTCTCACCAGCAATCTCGTGCTCGATCACCTCAAGCTCTACAGCAACGACCAATCTGCTACTGCCCATCGTGGTTCTGGGACTAGAAATGATCCGATCGCTCTCTACTCGGATGCCTCCAAGAAGTGTAAGAAGACCGCCCACAATGTTCTCTCCAACCACCCAGAAGCGAAGTGCTGGATGTTGTATCCTCACCTCAGACCAGCCAGCGAGAACAAGAACAATCGATCGGAGTCCATGGTCAGCAGCTTTCATTCATCATTCTCTCAAACTTCATCTCAGTTCATACTGGATTCAGGATCGTCTGCTCACATGGTTTCAAATATTGATCTCTTCTTTGCTCTCGATCACACAGAAAAAGGAATAGTCCATACAAGCTCAGGAAAAGACTCGCTTCAAATCAAAGGATCAGGATCGATAAAACTCCTCAATGAGTTTGGATCTATCATTCTACATCATGTTCTATTTGTGCCCGATTTAGTAGTCAACTTGTTATCTGTTCGATGTTTAGTACTAGACAATTACAAAGTTGAATTCGAAAAAAACTCTTTTTCTATTCTAAAACATGGAGAAATTAAAATGAACGGTCATTATACTTGCAATCTACCTAGCCTCTCATTTGCAAATATCAATCATCAGTCGCATTTTTCTTCTGCTGAGAATCTTCATCGATCACTTGGTCATGTGAGCTACCATAGATTGAGGCACAAGCTTGGCATTCCGTTGAAAAATGAAAAGATATGTGAAGCTTGCTCATTGGCAAAAATCACTAGAGCATCATTCAAATCCAAACATCCTCCGGCATCAAAACCTTTTGAGGAAATTCATCTGGACTTAATCGGTCCCATTACTCCGAGCTCTAGAGAAGGTCATCGGTATATCTTAACCACTTGTTGACAGCCACACTAGATTTTGCTCAGCAATTCCAG